CCTGCACCCTGCTGACTGGGAGCCGGGACTCAGTTTCCTCATCTGTGCTTTTCATTTCAGGGTGGGTGGTGAGAAAACTGAGCACGCCCCAGCCTTGGCTCACCACCGGCAGCTCCTGGAGAGCGTTCCCAGGCCTCCTGGGAGAGTCTCTGGGATGGGCAGCCCCACTGTGAGCCGCTCACTGGCGGACTCGGCTGGGGGCTGGGGAGCACTGGTGGGGGCCAGGACAGTAGGGTCCCAGGACAGTTGGAGCGGGGCTCACGCACTGGACCCCACGCTCTGTCCTTGCCGGGGGCTCGCTCAGCTGGCTTTGACCACACTTGGGCAGGACACAGAGACTTGAGAAGCTCGCCCCGTTCCACCCCATCTTAAACTCACCAAGCCCAGGGCCTCCAGGAAAGGAGGATCTCCAAAGACCGTTGTCTTTCCTTTAGTCATTCAGCAAACATTTATTGCGTGCCTATTTGGTGCAGGACCCAAACTACCTGCCTGCAGGGAACAGACATTCTAGTGCGGGGGGAGGGGTGGCAGGAAGTCGATACACTGAAGGGGAGGGTGAGGGGAGGCAGTGCCAGGCAGGAGCATGACACAGTGGCATGTGTGAGGCCCGTCTGCTGGCTGGGGGCGGCCGCTCCAAGTGCAGAGTCTCCGGTGTCTTGTCAAGGGGCGATGTTTGGGTTGAGGCTGGAACAGCAAGAAGATGTCAGGGAAAGCGCTCCCAGCGGAGCAGAAACCAGGCCCGCGGCAGACCGAGCCTGGCCCCCATCCCGGCCCCTGTTCTCGTAAGGAATCGAGGAGGCCTTCAGGAGCCAGTGCTTGGATGCCTTCCCGAGTCAGAACTCTTCAGAGCTGGCTTGAGAAGCTTGGCCTGGAGTGGCCCTGACTCCCGGCCCCTCTGCTGTCCCGGCCCGCCCCGAATACCCTTCGGCCCCTCTCCCAGCCACTTCTCACTCGGCAGTGAGATGGGAGACCCATGCATCTTGGGGGGACAGGTCTGGCCCACAGAGGGGTGTGTTCCTTCACTGAGACGAGGTCTACAGAGCGCCACGTGTGCCTGACGGGTGCTGGGCAGGGACACAGCAGTGCACTCTCAGGGCAGCCCACCAGGAGACGGGCATTCCCCACCCCACCCCCTAAACTTCCAGTCCTGGAGCGTCTGCCTGATTCCAGGTCAGGAGCCCTATCTGGGGGAGGTGACTGTGGCTGAGATCTTGGGGATGAGCTGAGCCCCTGGGGGAGGAGTTTATTTTATTCTGGGCACGGGGACGGGCCAGCAGCGTCTGATGGTGGGAGCGGGTGTGGCAAACACGGAATAAAGGACCCGAGGGGCTGAGGCCAGGAGCTGGGGGCGGGACCGGTGGGGTGGGCAGGGACAGCACATCCTCTGAGGACTAACAGCAGGACAGTGGCATGACGAGGCGTGTGTGGTGACACGGTCTCCCTGTGTGGAGGGTGCATTGGAGCAGCTGGGATGGGAGGGAGCAGAAGGGCCTGAGGGCTCGGGGGGACTGGACGGCAGCTGGGGGAGGGTAGAGTCTGGACTCACTGGGTCTTTGGGAGGAGGAAGTAGAGTCTCAGGCCCAGAGCCTTTAGGGCAGCCTGAGGGCGTTCTCCTCTGGCAGGTGGGAGCTGAAGCTGAGTGTGACAGGCTGGTCTGGAGGGTGAGGGCAGAGGATAAAGTGCCAGGGAGTGCCAGGGCCACCAGGGGCATCATCCAAGCCCAGACCTCCACATGCTTCTTGAAGGGAGTGGCCGGTGGAAACCCCAGGGTTGCAGAGGCATGGGGCAGGACTGGTCCCTGGCCCGGGAGGTCCCTGGAGCTGGGGTGCTGCTGGGGGTGGAGGCGCTCTGGGCCTGGGCACCAGATTGGAGTGGGCCGTGCAGCTGGTGAGAGGGGAGAAACGGGGACAGCGGGTGCCGCCAACTCTCTAGAGTGTTTTATTCTATTTTATTGAACACAAGCAGTGAAAGGCGTGCTCCAGACTACGAACCCTAGTCCTCAGACACGTTAACATGAGGCCACCTTGCAATGGACGAGCAAACAAGGCCCCCGCCTAACGCAGGCAGCAAAGCCCATTTCCAGGCGGTGGCCACCCCAGGAAGCTTCTGAGTCCGGGTGCTGCCTGCATGGTTGGCGCGGAAAGCTGGGGGGCCCTGTGTTCTCAGGGGTGTCGGCACTGCCGCAGGCACTCCTGAGACCTGCTCTTGAAGCCACCCCACAAGTTGCAAGGCAGCCCACGATGCCCAAAGCGCAGCTCTCAGCAGAGCCGGCACCCGGACTCCATGCAAGCTGCTTGAGCTGCGAAAAGAGAAGGAGCAGGCGTGGCGGGGGTGGCAGGGGCGCAGCTGCGTCTCTTTATGGCAGGAACTGAAAGTGTTTAGAAGCCAGTGGGAAGGGTCCTGTTGAGAGGGAGGTGTTGGCTGGCAGGGGAGGGGAGCGAAGGTGTGAGTTCCTGGAGAAGACACCGCAACAGCTTCACTCACAGACCATGACAGGCCCTCCTGCTGCTGGGCGCCCACGCTGTCGCCCACGGCCCTCCTGCAGGTGCTTTAGAACGGGTCCCTGGCAGTGGGCAGAGTTGGTCCGCCCCTGCGGGGTGAAGGACAGCTCAGGTTTGGGAGCCGTGCGTGACGGGTGGAGATATTTCTGGGGCCTGTGTTCTGCTCCGGTTGGGATTGGGTTGGGCTGTAGTTGAGGGACTTTCAGGGACACTCTGGCCCTCACAGGCTCAAAACAATGTCCACCATGCAGGGTGGTGGCCCTTCCTCGGGGGCAGCTCAGACAGTCACATGCCCAAGCACACACAAGCACATGCATATGGGTGCAGAAATGCACGTATGTATGCATATCCACGCATGCATATACACAGACACATATACTCGGGCAAACAGGCACACACATGCACAAATGCACCACATGCAGAGAGACACACTCAGGCACATGTGCTCACACAAAGTACACATGTGTGCCTATGTATGCATGCACACACACACACCCAGACCGACACACGCATACATACACACTGACCCCCACACACCCAGACCTGCACATGCATACACACACACACACACACCTACAAATACCCAGACCTGCACATACACACCCACACACACCCACATACACACCCAGACTTGCACATGCACACACACACACCTCTAGACCTGCACCTGCGCACACACACACCCCCAGACCTGCACATACACACACACACATGCACACACACCCCCAGACCTGCACATGCATACACACACACATAGACCTGCACATGCACACACACACACACCCAGACCTGCACACCACACACACACCCAGACCTGTACATGCATACACACATACACACCCACCCAGACCTGCACATACACACACACACCCAGACCTGCACATGCATACACACACACACACCCCCAGACCTGCACATGCATACACACACATGCACACACACCCAGACCTGCACGTGCATACACACACACACACATCCAGACCTGCACATGCACACATACACACATGCACACACACACACCCAGACCTGCACACACACACACACCCAGACCTGCACACGCATACACCCCCAGACCTGTACACCACACACACACACCCAGACCTGCACATGCATACACACACCCCCCACAGACCTGCACATGTACACACACACACCCAGATCTGCACATGCACACAAACACACACCCAGACCTGCACATGCACACACACAAACACATGCACACATGCACACACCCAGACCTACACACACACACACACACACAGACCTGCACATGCATACCACACGCACACATGTGCAGACGCTCTGGCCTGAGAAACCCATGTCCTGCAGAGAGACGTTGTGTGAGCTTGCTTCTCCCAGGACCAGGCAGAGGTTCTCGGGGCAGCACAGAAGGCCTGACCCGTCTCTTCCTAATCCAGCAAGTGACACACAATGGCTTCTCTGTGTGGAGATGAAGTTCAAAAAGAAAACAAGCCGCTTTCAACTTCCTCTACATGAAGGGTCATCGCCCCTCCCCACGTGGGGGCATCAGACGATGAGAGAACCTGGGAGCCAAGCAGGCTCTTGACAGACAGCAGCTGTCTCCTGTGATGGCGCTGCTGCCTCTCTCACCAGCAGCACGATGCCGCAGGCTCTAGGGGCCGTGGGCGGAGACAGGTGGCCTGTGCCCTTTCCATCCTTCCTGCCCAGCCAGCTGCTGCGCGCCAGATGTGGGCCTGGTTTCCCTCCCGTGTATCTCTGAGGTCCCCACGGATTGCTGTGTGGCATGAATGTGAGATCCCTACCATGCTATCCAAAAGGCAGGCGTCCATTTACAGGAGGGATGAAGGGCTGGAGGGTGGTGGGTGTCCCATCCCGCTAGGAGCTGGGTGGGGGAGAGGCCCCTCTGCCCCTGCCTGCCACCCGGTGGTCACTGTGGTGAGAGAGGGGTCCTAGAGTTGTAGGCCTGGGGTTTTGGGGTGAAGCTGTCCTGTCCAGAGGCACCGGCTGCCCACAGCCCAGCAGCCATCCTGGCCGAGAGCAGACGATCCAGCCAGTCCTCAGGGGAACATTATTTTCTTTGCAAAACGACTGTGGAAGTAGAGCTTGAAGTAGGGCTCGGGGATGCCCTTCAGTGTCTCCTTTCATTCCTACCTAGCAAAGTGGCTCACTTGAGAGCTGGGTCTGCACTGGCAGTGGGCCTCCAAGTTCACCTGTGCCTGAGACGACCAGGGAGCCAAGCTGGGGCTGGGG